ACAGTATTTCTCAGTGATCACATCATATGGGAGATTGTGAACCAGCCTGATCCTGATCCACGCCCGCGTTTTTTTGGGCTCAGTTGGAGTAATTTCCACATGGACAGAAAGGGTCCTTTAAGGGAGGTCATTCCCAGCAAAGCAGCCTATCCTAATGATATCAGATGCCCTCCTTTCTCCCCATCTGAGCACACACTTCCTACATACAATATTACTTTCGTTTCTTTGTCACTGAAATTTTATCAGCCCAGTACTGGACACTGCTTAGGCCGATGCTAGTGTCTTTTCTTTATTTCAAACCTTTATTTATACAGAATTGTACCCCCAAAACCAAGTTATCCCTGGTCACCTTCTGTAAAATGACTATTCCATGGACTTATATAGTTGTGGTGTGGAAAGATCTCACCCTCCACCGGAACCTGTAGAACTAATCGAACATGGTGTATAAATACATATTCAGTACTGCTATAAAGTCTCTTACACACTGTTACTCAAACACAGAACTGATGTGTTTGCCCAACAGTTTACCAACACACTCCAATTATTTGTCTTCCTGGAAGAGCCTGAAAAAGGTGGGAGGAAAAACCCCTTCAACTGACAAGCTGTCATGGTTTTATATCTCAGGGCCTTAAATTTACACCCCATGTGCCTGGTGCCTCCTGTGAAAGGAGAGTTTGCACTGTTTCTGAAGCATAGATATAAACAAGCAAGCTTTCTAGATGGAGCTGATCTGACTATGAGTTATAGGTATTATAACCAACTTTTCTTCCATTCCAATACTCTGTTCCTAACAGAAATCTTAATAGGCTTTTGAGAGCCTCCATTTAAAGCTGGCTGCATAAAATGATCCTTTGATGAAAAGGGATTGAAACAAGGGTTAAAGTAGACACTGAAAGGTTATTGTAGAGGGCACACTGGTCGTGCAATCCTCCTTTAATATGTGTGGTGTGCACCTGCGATAAGATGATTCATTAGATAAGGCCTCACTTTGACAAGCTTCATCGTTCAACCCTCGGGGTAGTGATGGAACAATTCTGTACCCACCCAGTAAATATAACAAGGTCAGCATTTTTCCCCTTGTGGGACTTATATAAAGAGCACGAACACCAGATGCATCTTTGCACATGCTTTATGTTGATGATGACAAAAATAAAGCAGATCCCTAAAACAATCATTAGACTTGAGGGTGTTCCTTTTTAATATTTAAAAAACCATTGAAAAGCAGAAAATAAATGCTATTTCAGTCACAGTTAGACAGATTGCTGGTGTCAAATAATAAAAAAAAGAGAGTTAAGAATTTATTGCTGTGGCATATATCAATTATATTCCAAGAATTGAGGAAACACACATTTACAATCACTAGTTAGGAGAACAATATCAGCTCTGACTTAATATTATTGATAGAACCCCTACCAGTAAGAGCTTTGTACTTCTGTATAATTTTTCCTGAGCAAACTGACAACACCCTTTTGTTTCTTACTGTTCTGGTTCTGGCCACAATCTTGCTGGCATTCAGTGATTCTAAATGAAAACAGTAGGTGGAATCCAGATCACATGAAGCCCTTATGAGACTAATTTTGAGACAGACCACAATTGTATGTAAAGCAAGTAAGCCCCACTGAATTTGGGAGAAAGCTTATTCTGAGCATTATTTGTCAGGCTAGACTGATTGTCTCTTTTATTCCAGCAGGAAGGGTTAGCAGGTGCCAACTCACTCCCACTGAAATAATGGATTCTGAAAATGCTTAAATTTGCCTTGATCATTTGATCAGCATCTGATACACTAAAGTAAATCACAACTAGAGTAGACCATATGAATCAATGGAATTCACAGAGGTGTTGGTTTACCAAATCCCCACTGAATCAATGGACTTACTCCAATGGAAATTACTGGATTGAGCAATAGAATTTCAGCCATTAATTGGGACAATGGAATTTGACCTCAAGGGACACAGTTAATGAAAGAAAAACACATAACACAAACTTCCCTCCAACCTCTCCAAAATATCAAAGTAGACATTCAGAGCATGTTTAGTTCCTGCTAGTAGCATATTTTCACTCTGATGATGGAAGTTCCTCAGAGATTCTTGCCTCAGCAATCAAACTTGCAAATTAAGCCCATATTTAACTTCTGATGACCAATCACAAAGCAAAGTACACTAAAATGCAAAATACAGAGGTGAAGAAAAACATGCCAAGGGAGAGAGATATCTTTTATCATTTGACAGTGGCGTGGCTTCTAATTATCCTCTAGTTTACACCAAACTCTAAAAAAGTGAAAACCTGCAAATAGGTTGCAACAAGATGGAGAAACAGTTCACCTTTTGGACTGCTTGTGGTATGGTTCAATGTGAGCTACAGTATTTCTCAGTGATCACATCATATGGGAGATTGTGAACCAGCCTGATCCTGATCCACGCCCGCGTTTTTTTGGGCTCAGTTGGAGTAATTTCCACATGGACAGAAAGGGTCCTTTAAGGGAGGTCATTCCCAGCAAAGCAGCCTATCCTAATGATATCAGATGCCCTCCTTTCTCCCCATCTGAGCACACACTTCCTACATACAATATTACTTTCGTTTCTTTGTCACTGAAATTTTATCAGCCCAGTACTGGACACTGCTTAGGCCGATGCCAGTGTCTTTTCTTTATTTCAAACCTTTATTTATACAGAATTGTACCCCCAAAACCAAGTTATCCCTGGTCACCTTCTGTAAAATGACTATTCCATGGACTTATATAGTTGTGGTGTGGAAAGATCTCACCCTCCACCGGAACCTGTAGAACTAATCGAACATGGTGTATAAATACATATTCAGTACTGCTATAAAGTCTCTTACACACTGTTACTCAAACACAGAACTGATGTGTTTGCCCAACAGTTTACCAACACACTCCAATTATTTGTCTTCCTGGAAGAGCCTGAAAAAGGTGGGAGGAAAAACCCCTTCAACTGACAAGCTGTCATGGTTTTATATCTCAGGGCCTTAAATTTACACCCCATGTGCCTGGTGCCTCCTGTGAAAGGAGAGTTTGCACTGTTTCTGAAGCATAGATATAAACAAGCAAGCTTTCTAGATGGAGCTGATCTGACTATGAGTTATAGGTATTATAACCAACTTTTCTTCCATTCCAATACTCTGTTCCTAACAGAAATCTTAATAGGCTTTTGAGAGCCTCCATTTAAAGCTGGCTGCATAAAATGATCCTTTGATGAAAAGGGATTGAAACAAGGGTTAAAGTAGACACTGAAAGGTTATTGTAGAGGGCACACTGGTCGTGCAATCCTCCTTTAATATGTGTGGTGTGCACCTGCGATAAGATGATTCATTAGATAAGGCCTCACTTTGACAAGCTTCATCGTTCAACCCTCGGGGTAGTGATGGAACAATTCTGTACCCACCCAGTAAATATAACAAGGTCAGCATTTTTCCCCTTGTGGGACTTATATAAAGAGCACGAACACCAGATGCATCTTTGCACATGCTTTATGTTGATGATGACAAAAATAAAGCAGATCCCTAAAACAATCATTAGACTTGAGGGTGTTCCTTTTTAATATTTAAAAAACCATTGAAAAGCAGAAAATAAATGCTATTTCAGTCACAGTTAGACAGATTGCTGGTGTCAAATAATAAAAAAAAGAGAGTTAAGAATTTATTGCTGTGGCATATATCAATTATATTCCAAGAATTGAGGAAACACACATTTACAATCACTAGTTAGGAGAACAATATCAGCTCTGACTTAATATTATTGATAGAACCCCTACCAGTAAGAGCTTTGTACTTCTGTATAATTTTTCCTGAGCAAACTGACAACACCCTTTTGTTTCTTACTGTTCTGGTTCTGGCCACAATCTTGCTGGCATTCAGTGATTCTAAATGAAAACAGTAGGTGGAATCCAGATCACATGAAGCCCTTATGAGACTAATTTTGAGACAGACCACAATTGTATGTAAAGCAAGTAAGCCCCACTGAATTTGGGAGAAAGCTTATTCTGAGCATTATTTGTCAGGCTAGACTGATTGTCTCTTTTATTCCAGCAGGAAGGGTTAGCAGGTGCCAACTCACTCCCACTGAAATAATGGATTCTGAAAATGCTTAAATTTGCCTTGATCATTTGATCAGCATCTGATTCTCAAAGCACCTGAAATTATCTGTAAACCTCATTTCAAGATGATTTATTTATGCCATTCTTGGCAATTTTGAACTTAAATACTGAACTGGAATACTGTTTCATAGTGTAGTAAGTCACAACTAGAGTAGGCTAGTTAGATCAATGGAACTTATGGAGGAGCTGACTCACCAAATCCCCATTGATTTAATGATCTACTCTAGTTGTGATTTACTATGCTAAGCTACAAGATTTCAGCCAATGCATCTTGGCACTTACCTAATTCAAATAATAATGGAGATCTGTCGGGCTCTTTTGATGTTATAGTAATTCATGTATATATACATACATACTTTATTGTTACGGCATCAAGCCATACAAAACTTCAAAGACTGGTTTGCACTACAAAGAGCCATACTAGACATACAAAAAGTAAAATATCTAAAACAGCAAATATAGCAATGTAGGACCAAGGTCTAAGGGTTTAGCTGTCTAGTCTGTCTGCTATAGCATAATTCATGTATATATTTGCCTGTCATAAACACACACGCTACAAAGAAATATTTCTAAATTGCTTTGAAAAAATAGATATGATCAAATCAAATGTTTGTTCTTTTATTAAATAATGGGCTGGATCCAGAATTAGTTGTAGAATGAACTCATTGAAATAAATTTACCATATATTCACAACTGCAATTAGCAATGCAAGTTTGATTGATTATGGTCAGGTTCAACCAGCTGGTTCTACCATTTTTTACTTCTCTTTTGCACAGAACCATTATTTATTTGTTTCTCAACCCATTGCTGTCATGCATACAGAATTCATTTTGACTCCAAAATCAACGTGCCATATAAATTCACTGTTTCCCCTCATCTTCCACTCACCTGTCCTTGTGCATTAGTGACTAGTTGACCTGTGACCCCCTGAAGACCGGAGAGTGCATTGCCAAAGGCCTGTGAGCTTGCTATTGAGCCCATGGCGGCGGCTGCCGCTGCTGCTGCCGCTTGACTTGCTAGAGGGTTATTAACCAGCTGAAAATAGGAAGAAAAGAGCAAAAAGTAAGGGTTTTGATAGCAACACATTGCTAATTGACTTTGTGATAGAAATGTCACTGGAAATGTAGTTATTCTTAAATTCTCAAACAGCACTGAATAATCTTTTACAATGTGCAGTCCAAATGCTTTAAAAATTCTGTTGATATCCATTAAAATGATTCCACTTTGGATAGATGATAGTCAAAGCGGAATATGACCAAAGTATCTTTTCCTTCTGCAGGACACAATTTACATAGATATCGTTCAGTACAGATTTAGGCAGCAGTTTTTAAAATACAAAAATGGTATTGAAATATTATTGTTAGTGTAATCTACCAGTTGAATTTTAATGTAATTGAGTTTGGGAAGGACTCATCCAGATGTGAATTCACTTCAAAGAGTATAAGAGACCATTTAATGCTTATCCTCTAACTATCTGGATATACCCAGCACAGCTTCAGAGTTCTATCACAGGAATAACTCAAAATGCAATTGTTTCAGTTTTAAATCAGCATCTCCTTCCCTTCCTTCTTTCTTTGCTTTGTCCAGAGAATGAGCATTGCTAAGGAGCCACATACTAAAGTTGAATGCATTGTTGCAACCCAATTTGTTCCCATTTTTTTTTTCAGATGGAAAGCTTACTTGACAGAGATGCTTCACCTGGCATCCAGGCATTCCACACAAGGTGAATTGTTGAAAAGCACACAAATGCAAACAAACAATTCCTCATGAGAATTCTAAAGGGACACAATTCCATTTTGAGGATTGTACAAGGTGGTTTCTGAATGTTTGGACCAACTGTTAGATGCACTTTGATTGTTGTAAAATGAAAACCAAGAAGAAACAATGAAATGGCAAATACAAATTATAGTGTGTGTACCTGTATGGCACATAAAAGCTTTGTCTCCCTCATGGACTATAATGACCTGTTCAGTGTTTTTTTTTAAAAAAATATTATGTCCTTCTAAATCCAGGAAATCTGTGTCTGATTTAAAATTAGCAATTTAGTAGTAAACCATAGTAGAAAAATGTATATCCCAATAACAAAAGGTGTGGGCTTTCTGGGGATTTAAAAAAAATAGCTGGTTTTCATAGATATCTCCTCATTATATACATTTGTTACAGCTGAGACATTTGCTGTCCAAATCTACTTAAAATCAAATCTACTCCTCTCAGGAATAAGAACTGATAGGGGTATTGCTGATGCATCCTGACTTGATTCAATATGAATTGACACAACCTGAGGTGATGTGAACAGAACATCCTTCAACATACATCCTGGTTTCACTCATTATGTGCTATAGATTAGGGATGGTTTCAAGTCATTTTAAAACTAGTGGGATCCAACTGTATGCCTAACCTAAATCCTGCTACTCCAAAAAAGATTTAGAAAGTAGTTATGAATAGAAGAATCATTTAAAGAGCAAAGCAATATTGTTGGAAAATGTGTTTTTTTCTGAAAGAATGTTGTCAGTACATATCTATATATACTGTGTTATTAAGATTCAGATGTGATGTAGAAAGTTAAGGATTCCTTAGGGACTTTCAGTTTCACATTGTCAGGAGAAAAGTACCGTATTTTTCGCACCATAAGACACACTTTTCCCCCACAAAACAGGGGGGTGGAAAGTCTGTGCATCTTATGGAGCAAAGAAAACAGATTATATTTTCATTTTTTCTTCTCCTAAAAATTGGTGCGTCTTATGGAAAGGTGCGTCTTATGGAGCGAAAAATACGGTATACACTTGGCCTGTATTTCCTGGCCAATTATATAAAATAACAAACTATTAAGAAAATGAACATCATTGAAAGTATCAGACTATTTTTTTTAATTATCACTTTTCATGCCAGTCTGTGTACACAATACAGTAATAGGTAGCATACAAATTCAAAGGAGAATAGGATCTCTGGTAAAGTCCTCTCCCCCCTTTTTTTTATAATTTTATGTTTTTCTTCAGCCTTGCATGTATATGTGTAAACTAGGTTTCTCTAAACCTGCCTATCTGACTTTTCCCCAAGAGCCAATGCATACATATGTACACCTAAGTCATTTGTATACACTAAAGAAAGATAAAAGTGCCACTGAAAGCCATGAATAAAGTCAGGATGGCACCTGGTGGGTCAGGGTCTAGAGTCAACAGCTAAAATATATCTGTTGAGCTCAGCCTTTCAGGCCTTGGAGCTTGTCATCTATTGTGTTTTCCCGAAAATAAGACAGGGTCTTATATTAATTTTTGCTCCAAAAATACATTAGGGCTTATTTTCAGAGGATGTTTTACTTTTTTCATGTACATCAATCTACATTTATTCAAATACAGCCATGTCATCTTCTTCTGGTTGCTGCACAATGGTGGAGGGCGGGGTTTCCCTTAACTGGGGCTTATATTTGGGGTAGGGCTTATATTACCACCATCCTGAAAAATCAAACTAGGGCTTATTTTCAGGTTAGGTCTTATTTTCAGGGAAACAGGGTATCAAACTACTACGCAACAAAGCTGTACAGATCAGACAATAACATAAGGGTCAGGCAATTGTAACAGTCCATCAGGCTAATAATTGTTATGCAAATGGGTCAGAATGTTGCCCTGGACTTGCCCATAATATCAAATACTGTGAGATAGCACAACACGTCAGCAGTGTGTTTTGCTGGTGCAATAACCCAGGCTAAATACAGACCAAAAACAAACAAGCAAACAAACATCCAATGTTAATTGATATAATCAGAAAGCCAGGTAATGTGACCTTACTTAACTGTTCACCATGTCAATCAAACCAAGCAAATCAAGGTTAAAAGGGAGCTGGGCGTGACGTGTTTTTCAGGAGTATTTTCAGCCTTTATTTTCAAGGGGAATTAACTAGTTTCAGTGGGACATCTGTCCCCCAAATTGTGCAAACATCTGCCCTTTAAAGTGTTGTTCAATGTCATTGTTAATGTTTCTCCACCTGCTGCTCTGTATCTGCTCAAGTATTGCTACTTCCTGCTTCCTGTGTGAGTCATGCACAATCCAGAATTACACAGAGCAGCTTCAGCTGAGACTTATTACACAAATCAACTACCCAATTCACTGGGTTTTAGAACACCTTTGAATGACATGCTCTTCCACTCTTACCCTTCCCTTGTTTTTCTATCATTTTGCAGAAAACAAAAAATGTTATATAGAAAAAAGGTGGGAGTAGCTTTTAAACGTTATCACAGAGACCCTTTATCTGAAAATGTTCACATTTAAATCAGATGATACAACACCAAACACTGACCTCTCTGTGTCCACTGCATGAAAGTGAAAGCAGCCGAGAATGAGGTCAAGGATGGAGGTCAAAGTTTATCAATAAATGAACATTTTCTTATTGAAAAACTTCCTTAAAAATAGCACTGGCTTTGTGATATTGTCAAAATGTTTTGTGAAAAACTATTAGTTGTGCAAAACTGCAGTGGGGCTGACAGTTAGAATTTAGGTGTAGAAAACTTGCAGGTTGGTATCTTACTGCTAGTCTTAGCTAGAACAGACCTTTGTGAATTTATGTTTGACTTATTAAGTGGGCCTGCTGTAGCAAAAGGATAAGGACCACTAAAATCTGCACTGTTTGCAAGTACTTAAAAAAAGGAGTCCAATTTGTTTGCATAAAAATTAGAACTATATTGTCATATAGCTGCTTTTTTCTATTTTTTGTTCAGTGGTGGAAGCTGCAATGTCAGTAGGAACCAAGTGCTTCCAGCATATTAATAATTCTACTATACTGGCTTGAAGGGAATGCCCAAGGATTAGTACTGTAAGGCAGCCACATTGAATTGTTTCCAGGGAAAACCTCCCTTGCCTTCTTACACACTTTCATGTGATTCAGTATCAGCAAGGCACCTACCACCAAAATGAGCTGTTAAGTCCCAATACAGAGGCAGCTCTGTCAGGGGTCTATTAGAGAGGCATATGGGGTTTACAGATGCTAGAAAGGGTTAGGGCTGGTTCAATTTCAACCCTTAATATAACAACAAAGTAATTTTAGGTAGAATTTTGTTAAAGCTTTTTGAACAGCAGAGAATAGCACATAAGGTTTTCAGAATTCTTGATGTGCTTGTGCTTAAAATGATTTGTGCAACTATCTGTGACTGATTCATTCCCTAGATGCTGCATTTTTGCCCATTGCCTTCTGTGTGTTTTCCTGCTCCCACCAATATTCTGCTACTTGAATTTTTTTGCCCATATCTGTTCAGTCAAAGCTACAATCCTAGAAACCATCTAAAACTGGCAGATCTGTGAGGACAGTAGTAGCACCAGCACAGAAACCAGTTAAAGACCTATGAGGCTCTTCGAATAGTTGTTTAAAAAAGGTAAATTTTCCTATCTCTTCTTATTTGTAATCTGCTACTCTCAAGATTTGCTTTGTCGTATAGGAAATCAGGTTAACATACTATTTATTTATTTATTTCATTTCATTTCTATATTGCCCCATTAGTGCAAAACACTATTCTGGGCAGTTTATATAGAAAACCAAACTGAATATAAGAACAGATAAAATAATACTAGGATAGAAGTGGAATAGACAAACTGGAACATATTTTCCTAAGGTCATCCTCCCACACCACCAGATCCTCCGAGGCTATGCTCCTCCAGGTGGCCACTCTGATGGAGGCCAGAAAATCATCAACAATAAATCAGGCCTTCTTGGTAGTGGCACCATCTTTCTGGAATCAGCTGCCAGTTAAGCTGCACCTGACCCTGCTCTCCCCATTTTAAAGAGGATACTGAAGATGCTTCTCTTTTGATTGGCTTTCAAAGGCAGCCTCACTTGAATTTTGCCTCTTGACCTGCTGCCTTTTGAAAACACTTTGCTGTCAAGGCTTAATTGCCATCCTATGGGAAATGCAGATTTGACCTGAGAACTTTTTGACTTGAGAACCGCCTTCCAATACACATTAAGTTCTCAAGTCAAGACCCCACTGTACACAGTATGTAAGTTTTTTTTGTTTCTTTTTGCTTAGCCTCAGAAATAACTCACAGATT